GTTTTGCTGATTCATAGGAAGCTCCAGGTCGGCCAATCATAGTCCTTGGCGTTTGCGCCAGGCTAGGTAATATCCTTTGACGACGCCGTCTATACAAACAAGTACATAATATAAATAATGCTCCTATTACGATTCCAACTATTATAGCTATAATTGTAGCTGATGGTTGAGCTGTTGTTGATGTTGTTACAGGTGTTTCAGTTACATTTGTAGATGCCGTAGAAGTTGAAGTTGGTGTAGGAGTTGTGTCTGCTATCTCTTGAGGATTTGGCCAAGGAAATGCGTATGCAAGTGAAGTAAGTGTGATAAAGTATATAGATAATATGGAAAGAAATATTCTATGTTTTGTCATTTTTTATGATAATTTAGTTTAAAATTTTATAAAGTTATATTTTTCCGTTTCTTTTGAATTAATGTCATCAATAACTGCGTACTGCATGAATGATCTTGGGAGAAAAATATCATCATGAAAGTTGATGAGTCGGTTGTACGTACGTACGTAAATGAATGGCTGTGTCATTTATTCAATCATACTCTATCTCGTTGAAATTCTTGATTTGAAATGACTTTCATTATCTTTATGGGGCGAAGAAAGCATAGCCTTTTTTTTTTTTACACCGCCTCATTCACTTATAATAACTTGTTTGATTTTGGATTTAAGGTGTCACTATTGACCTTGTGTAACTTTATATCCGATAGAGCTAAGTACGTACGCGAAATTGACAAAAAGGATATCAATATTTAGAAAATATTATTATGTTTGTAAATGATAGCGTTGTCGTGAATGCAGTTACCGCTTACCCGAAATTGCTACTTTAGTAACTGGATAAAATTAACCCTTGAAATTAGATCTTCTTGCATGCAGTAATTCCGGTCAGTTGCAGCTTCAGTAGACTGAAGTAACAACTCCAGACAGGTAGCAACTCCAGTCATGAAAGCCAATAATTTCTATAGCACGCAATATGGCTATGCCATTATAGAAATCTACGGTGTACTTGTATTTATCGTTACAGTTGGCGTAAAACTATGTAGCGTAGCCACGTGTAATGTATTTTTGTACTATGAGAAATTGTATGCTGTAAAGAAATACTGCAATTATATCCATAGCTTTAAATTGTAAAAATTATATTTAAATATAAAAGATTATCTTTTTGCAAAATTATAACTATTTCTATTTATCAGATATATATAATAAAT